AGTGTTTCCAGAGGAGGCACCCTCACACTGTCAGCCAGCCAGAGTCCTGCCAAATCACCAATAAACGGATTTAACTTGTCAGCACATTAAGGAAAACCCAATGCATACTTGTAATACAGAGCAGTGGCATGGAAAGCCAAAGGGAACAAGCCAGCCTTATTCAGGAGAGATGTGGGATTAACTTTACTGATCCCTCACTGTCTTGCAGAAGGGAGACACAGGGAGGGGGAATCCTCTTAACCAGAAGGTAGTGGGGGTTAAAAATAGCCCACCACTGACACTGATTCCAAAAATCCTATTATTGGAGTACATTTTAGGGGTCACTCAGGGAAAATGTCAAGACAGCTACACAGTATAACAGGCAATCCATTAGTTTTGTTTGTTTTGATTGTGGAGGATAAAGATTTAGATAGTCAATAAATGCGCACAGCCAGCACTCGCCATGCAGTAGCCTAAAGGTTCAATTTAAACAGACTGAAGATGCAATCTTAAAAATCGCAGTCAAATTGGGGAAAGAGTCGCAGAGCATTTAGTCAGTGGTCAGTTAATTTACAAAAGTCTGCTGGTCCGAAATAAAGTGCGCTCTTTCCACCACCTGCGCGCATTTTGGACACGCTCCTCTGGGTCTCCATGGGCACAGACAACATAACATTCAATTCAACTCCTCAAATAGGCAACAATAGCCTACTAAATATTCCCACAATAAATCCTCACAGCTCACCTCAACCAGAAGTAATCCAGGTGCGAATTCCCGTCGTATCCTTTTCCCGAAACGTGCCAAACAACCTTTCAACAGCCGAGACTTTCCTCCTTTTATATGCGAATATAAAACCGAGACGGTGAAACCCAGGAATCCCTCCCTGCTCCGGTCAATCAGTGCAGCATTATGCGGTCGTAAATGAATGAAAGTAAACTTGAGCAGTCGTTTTCACAGCAGCAGCGGGTTTGTTCGGAGAAGAACAATCCGCATGAATGAATGAGAGCTCCGGTTGTGTTGATGCTCCTCCGCCGCCTTCTCTGTGTGTTTGAGCTCCGGAGCCGCGACCAGCCTCAAGACTTCAGCGTGAGGGAGAGGCAGCAGCCAATCAGAGGAGAGAACTAACCCCCACCACACCCACCCACCTCGTTTATCCTCTCACTCTTTTCTGGTTTTCAATTTCAGTTCTCCTTCTCCATCCATACTCTCTCTTTCTCTCACACTATGACGTGTTTTTTTTTCCATCAGTATCTTTCTCATCTTTCCTCTTTCAATTCTCAAATCAGTGTGCTTTTTTTTTAGGATACAGGAATAGGCATACCAGAAGAAGGGTTGTAACAACCATCTCTAATTAAAAGCAAAACCAAAACATAAGGCATGAAAAGCTAATTGAATATGTTATTATTTTCTCAGATGTAAGACTTCTGTGTCTGTCTGTAGGCTATTGTGATTTAGCCTATGTCTGTAGGAGGATTTTATGTTTCTTGTGTTTTGTTTAATCTTTTGTGTATAATAATGTGAAGCACATTGAATTTATTTATAATGAAACATCTACACAAATATCTTGCCTAGAAATGATAAAAACACGAGTCTACAGCCAGCTCTGTCAGGTTGTGTGCTTTGAGCTAAATGCTAATCAGAATGCTAAAATGCTTACAACTAGCCAACAGTACTAGCATACTGATATAGCGGGTACCCTATAATGTTAACCATCTTAGTTCAGCGTGTTGGCATGCTAAAATTGACTATGGATTGAACACAGCTGAAAGTGATGGGACTGTCATTAGTTTTGCAGGGTGTTCATAAACCAAACTACTGGACAAATTAAGACTGTGACCTGATGACAACGCTCGATGAAAAGTCAGGGATCAACTGAGAGGGGCATGAATGTCTGTGCCAAATATGATAACAATTCATTGGATAGTTCTCGAGACATTCCACTCAAAAACACAAAAATCAAACCTCATGGCGGCGCAAGAGGGAAAGTCAGGGGATCCACAAAGTCAATAGGATTCATCCTCTGGAGACCATGATTGTCTATACCAAATTTCATGGCAATGCATATAACAGTTGATTCAGTCTGGACCACAGTGGTGGACCAACGGACCTGGAGCCATGCTGCTGTGGTTAAAACTCTAATCCAGTCAAAACACATGACAATAATAACAATAACTACCATCATTATGATGAAATTCTCAATAATATAGGCCATGTGTCCTGTATATTTAGTGTTGTATGTTTTAATTGTGACCTGCCAAGGACTACTGAGGAAAACTGGCTCTATGCTAACAAGATTACAATTTCACATTCACCCATAAATATTCCCAATTTATTCTGTTCACCTTTCTCTCTCCACAGCCCACTTCCCCCTGTACCCCTCCTTTTTCCCAATTTCTCTCCCCTCTCTTCATCTCCGTCTCTCCCTCTTTCTCTCTTTTGTATGTCTACGTGCCTCATTCTAAGTTCAGGTCATGTAAGCAGAAGCTTCTTGACCACCGAAAGAAATCAAATTATAATTGTAGAATTTATATTGGTGAAAAGGCTGTGGTATAAAATGAAACTGAAGAGCGCTGTCTCCTTCTGTCCCCAACACAACAAAACAACCTGTTTAGTTCTTCAAACCAACACTGATGTTCATTGTTTGTCCAAATAATTTAATGACAACTTATAAGTGGGTGACAAATGGGGAAAATGAAAAATTTTGATTCACATTATATCAAAGTTCAGAACAGGATCGAATCATAGATTTTCTAAAAAGAAAAAATGAAAAAACATGCACGCAGTTGTATTTAAACGTCAACTGTATTAAATCCTTTGATGCTGTGTTCTCTCTGAAACCCTAATCTTGGCAGGGTCACCGTGTTCTATCTGCTGAGTTATGGATGGCCATTGTGTAATTATTAGTTTAGTCATTTTTATTTATTTAGCTTTTATTTAACCAGGTAGGTGAATTAAGAATGAATTCCTGGAACCTAAAAAAGAGGAGACAAAAAATACTGCTTTTACTTTTTTAGATCTGCAAAACATTTTTTATTGCAACACAAATGCTATGTTAGTTTGGTTACAATTTCCCTGACTATTCTGCTTCTCTTTAAACAGAAAATGGAACAAAACTATAGACTGCTCCTCTCTTCTTTAAGCCAAACATCATTGTAGTTCAGTTACTATAAACAGTAAAGAAATGTGACTTCTTCATACTGCATGTTCGTTTGTGCTCAGCTGACTTTCTCCACATTTCCGGGCAGAGTAATAAGCCTTGGTGAAATAACAAGAAATCATCCCAGATCTCATCAACATCCAGAGGTATTATGTAATCTGGTGTTAGCACAGATTTACGTATATGCACTAATCCAGCTTTTCGCTGAAATGAGTGCACAGAGTTCGACCACAAAGATCAGGTCTGCCGTCATTGTGTTGTACATCGCGGGACACAAACACAAGGTAAGTTGGCAGACACTACAAACAATGGCCAGGTCTTAAAGTTTGGCCTTTCAATTTTCTCATATACTGCAACCAAAGTAATGGTACAGGTTCAACATGTCACCTGTTGCAAAGGTGTGGGTCATTGTTGGGTTTTAATATTGGGTTATAATATTTGGACAACAAAGGAGCTCTATGGCACAAAGGAATAAGATATATCAGGCTTTGGATGCACAAACAATACTTGTTAGTAGCATCCATTAACTGTTGGTTTCAGTCTTTTCATGGGATTTGATGACAAGAAACCCCAAAACAGAATACGACCATCCTTCAAGTATTCCTGTGTCTGGTGTCAAACGTGTCTGTATAACAGAATACCAGGCTGACCAGTGTTGATTACAGTCTGTTTTCAGCATTTCCAAAGCTAAAGGAAGTGGGGCTTTTCCAATTCAACTCGTTCACACTCTTCTACCTTCGGGGCAGCCTGTGTTGAATGGCTGAGTGAAAGATATCCAGTTTGTCTATTCAAGTAACAATCAGCATGAGGTAACTGCTTGAAGGTTTAATAAATAGGATCCCGCTACATGTGAATGTAAAGCAGGGTGCTGTGGATGTGTGGCTCATTTGATAACGTTTATAGCACTAACGGGTTTAGAGCTTTAACAGCAAAGATCACAAATCAGACCAGACATGGTACTGCAAAACGCCTCACTGACATGCGTGTGACTGAAGACATCAGATGTTGTTTACTCTTTTGGAGAAACAGCCTGACTGGAATGTCAGAACTATGCTAAAGGTCTGTTATGCAAGTGTGGCGTCCAGGCTGATGTGCTGGATTTGAAATCTTCCAGCGGGAAAATAAATACACACAAACTTTTAGTTTGTGCTACATTCCCCATATAGCTTCAACGCCGAGCAGTGAAGATCGGCATCAGGAATTTACCCACATTGTGCCACCCCTGGAGCAGCCTGGTCCTGCTCATGAGTAATGATAAACATTTTTTTTTATGCTGAGAGAAATTATAGTCAAGATGTTTATACTGCTGTGGCCATATTTCATGTATCAGTATGTCTTATTTTCATAAAAGAATTTAATTTGTCACATATATCTAATTTAATAGATTTTTACACTAATACACTGTGGAATATATCATATACTTGCAACACATTGTAAGTTTATACAAAAATATGTCATTAAGTTATTTATTTGTTTACCATATGTATTTTGTAATAAATTATTTAAATAAATGGCTGTGTATTCAAATAATGCCATAACATAAAGTGTCCTCTAATCTATTCTTCTTCAGACTGTTGCTCTGTGTATAAAATGGTTTTAAATAATCTAATGTTATCATGACAGCAAAGAGCCAAGATGGTACATGTCAAGTTTATAGCTGGGACATCATTGTTTTCTCATTGGAGCAGTTAACTTGCGCTATTGCCCAGGTTGCACTGACACTAACAGAAGTGATGAAGTCGTCAATTGGATTATTGAGACTGTAACAACGTGTCAATGTTGACAGCTATCGGTACAGACAAAGACTTTTCCATTAGTACCAAAAGGCTGCCCTGTTGACAAACAGATTCCAGCAGAAAACCGAAACTGGTTGAAAATATCTTTTTTTTTTTATTTATATAAAAGTGCCTGAAACAATTCTATTACATTTGGTAACCAACTGACACCTAAGAAATCCCCTGACAGATGTTGTAACAGAGAATAGAGGGAAGAACAACTTCTCCTTTACACTTCAACTGTACTTTCCTTTTCTAACCTCTTTGAGCGTGACTGACCATCATCAACATTGATCCTCTTTTACCCACAGACTCCAGGATTGAGGGTCTTTTCGTGAATTTGGTTCAATTAAAATTTCACTCCATGTCACTCTGGGTTAAGGCCTAACCCAATCACCCTGAATGTGTCGGTTTGCTGTCTGTGGCTATAATCATTATCAGTGCATTTTTTTGGTTCCACCCGAGCTTGAATGCATCAGTGTTCTCTGGGTTAACCACTGTAAAAATCCTTGGCGTGAGCGCATCCTACTTCCCATCTTTGTTCGTGGTATGATTTGGACTAGTAGGTGCCTCTGCTACAGTCTGGCTGCCTCCACATTTACACCTGTGTTCTCTGGCTAGACATGTGATGAGCTCCAGGACTCTGATCTCATGCTCCATGCGAGCTTTCTCCCTCCTTTCCTCCCTCTCAGCAGTCTCCTTCTGCCGGCGCTCCTCCCTCTGCAGCCATTGGACCAAGAGCTCCTGATGCCAGCGAGCCTGCTCCTGCCGCTGACTCTCCAGCTGCACCAGCAAGCAACGGGTCTCCGACACCAGCTGCTGGAAGCACTCCGACAGGCGCCTGAGGTCGGGTTCCAGGCAGGTGGACACAGGGCGATGGTGGCCAGAGGTGGGGATGGTGCTGGGGCTTGGATCTGGGGGTGCAGGGACAGGCGAGGCCCTGGATTGGGTAAGAGGAGGAGGAGCAGGTGGAGGAGGTACTACATGTGGGGAAGGAATGCTCAAGCTGTTTTCCACTAGTGTACCTATGACCCAGGATATAAAACAGAACAGGGAAGAGATTATTACTGACAGGACAGGAATGTATTTGGTGCTGAAACGATAGTTGCTGACCTTAAAAATATTTTTATCGAAAAGAAAATGTTATTTTAAAAATATGTAGGACAAAAATGTTCACAGAATTGAGAAACAGAGGTGGGATTCTTGTGTTGCTCATTTATGAAACATTCTACACTATAATCATATTTTTATATATTGTCAAATATTAGTCAATATTCCATATTCTAATGATTATCATCTTATCTAACCAATTTAATAATTGAGAAAAATTAGGTCAGGTTATAATCTGGTTGTCTACAGCAATGCGTTGTCAAAAACAAAAATGATTCAGGTTCACAATTAGGCTAATGTGCACAGGCATAAATACAAGGTGTACTTATGGTTTATACATCATTAGAAGTCAAGTACTTATCAAGTACAGTTTCAACAATTGATGTTAGGGTCGTCTGCTAAAAGCTAAGATGAGCTAAGCTAAAATAAAATTAAAATAAATACCTGCCATGAAAAAATCAATTGGACAAAAAAGGTTTATATTTCAATAAGTCAATAATAATAATAAGGGAAGTCTGTATCATAATTAGCAAAACAGCACAATTATGAGGCCATAAGAAACAAAACAAAAAATCACGTGTCAAATCCAACACTAATTTGGTGGGTTATATTTTTAGCCTCTAATGATTTATATAATAATCACAGTACTTTACCACTAATTTCCCGATGGATGGGTGATTCCAAATAAACTTCCTGCTGTCTGTCTCTCAGACGCTGTGAGAATCCTGTATTGCTGAACTCAAACTCATCTGTTGAATCTTCTTCTCTCTCCTCCAACTTGACTTCAGAGTCGAACTGCCAAGACTGACGGCCTCCTCTCTCCTCTAAAGAGCTCAAACATTGTCTTCCTGTCCTCTCCAAGGAACCAAAATGGTGTCCACTAATCTCTGTACTAGAATTTAAATCTGAGGGGATACTTCCAGTCCTGTCACCAGAGTCAAGGTGACGCTCTGCCATCCGTTCTGGAGAAACAAAACAGGGCCCTCCTTCTCCTCCCCCAGGTCTCCGGCCCAACACAGCATCCATCTCAGCAAAGTATTTAAAGGTGCAAGGCTGCGTGACGTCAACGCTCCTCTGTAGTTTGGCTCTCACATAGTTAGCCTTCAGAGTTTTGACCCGAAGCCGGCACTGGTGTGGACTCCGAGAGAAACCCATTTCACTCATGCGGGTTGAGAGGTGTTTGAAGACATGGCGGTTGCGAAGGTTTTCTGCCAAATTCTTCTGGATGCGCTCATCACTCCAGGCGCACAGCAGCACCTGAGTTTCCTCCACTGTCCAGTTAACTGAGCGCTCAGCTTCTCGTTTTCCTGTACATAAAGAAACATGAACAACTTCACAGTTAAAGCTGGTGGTCTGGGGTTATGGTTCATCAACATTTTTGCGACAAGCATTAAATGAACATTTACCACTGGGCCTCGATATGATAATGCAAAGGCTCCCTTCCGAAGACGATTTTTTGTAGAAATCTAAAACTTTGCACAAAACTATGAAGAAAAGGAAGCTACTTAAATGCACATCATGTGTAGGTGCAAGGTTGTTGGAAAACAGCATCGATGTAAGGCCTAAACATTGACTCTGAAACTGAAATCCAATTTGGTGTTGACTTATGATCAAACTGCGGTCCATTTAACAACATTTTGAAAAATTTGAGTCACTGTGCAGGAGTTACTTTTTTGCTGGTACTAAACTGAGTGCACTTTTTAAATCAAACAGCCTGAAATAATTCATTCTTGGAGGTTAAAATGTTTTCACATTTTTGCTGAAACTGTCTTGGAGAGGTGTTGATTCAGCCGTTTGGTAATTTTTTGCCGTTGTTGAACTGTATTTCAAGATATACAGAGAAGTGTTACTTCCTAAATAATTAGTCCTTCCTCAATTGTGAAAAATTTTAGATACGCTTTCCAGTACGATGCAATACAACACCACCTCTCATGAAACATGTTCTGAACATTAAAACTTCATGAAAGTATGATTCATTGCAGCTTGCTGTGTTAGACGGCATAAGTTTGAGCTAGATGGACGTGACAAACTGAGTGGGTCCATTGGTCTGAGAATATAATTTAATAATTGTGCCGGCTGCTGCAGATGTGTAACTCAGGACACCCATTATACTCACTAGCAAGAAAAGAAGTAAACAGATTCAAACTAGTAAGAATTAATCTGCTAAATCAGCTCAGGTAAACTAAGATGACGCCTAACTATTCAGTAAAATAAAGGCTAACTATTTTACATCCCTGTGTAAATGATGTGTATGCCTTGCAGCTGTAAGGATCTAAGCTTCAACTAAGTTCAATAACATAACATGGATTGTGCTATCAATCCATGTTATGTTATCCAGATTTTAGGTACAGAAACAATGTATGCCCACACTAGGTGAAAAGTTGAGGGATAGCCACCAAGCTGTTCACATACATTCAAAATAAGTACGCCTGATAACACTGACCAATTCGGAAGGCTTCAAAAGAGTGTCATTGGGCAAGCAAGACAAATAGCAACGAATGGTTCAGCAGCTTAATAACTGAGTGAACCCAAACTAGAAAGCCATTCCTGCTCTATGTAGCAAACACAGCTAAAAGGTTAGCGGCTAACAGTTAGCTGCCCTAGCTACAGGTCTGTTTGTCTGCTTCTGACTCTCTGCTGCCTATTAAACAGCAAACAAAACGTGTCGCTTGCTTAAGGGATACTTACTTTTGGTCGTTGAAACGGAGTTGGTCGAGTTGATCATCAGAGGATTCATTTTAACGGGCAGCAGGAAATGTAAACAATCCTCACACACACCGACACTCCTCTCTTCCGGGTGACGCCGAGTTCAGCGCGTGACGTCTGTAGCGTTACAATATTACAATATTACATAAATCAATACAGAAAATTGAAAAGCTGTGTGATGACAATTATGACAAAAAATATCATTCTGCACGAATTTCGTGTCTATAAATCCTGTTAATATTATTTTGCACACCCAAATAACACTTTGAGCATTATCTCAGTGGTGTTCTAGTTTTATGTGATAGGTTTCTTCATAACAAGCAAAACAACTTCTGATCAGGTGTTGACACATAACGTGCTGAGTATCAGCATAATACATGTATGATAAAAAACTATACTGATACTGTCAGATATTAAATAAATTGAAATCAGTTTGTTACTGTTTGGGCAGTTGAGTTAATTTGATGGCATACATGGTAAGGCTGATTTCAGACAGACAACTGCAGTGCATGAATAAATGCAGCCACCTCATTTATTTCAATGAGACAGCAGTTGGCACAGTGGGGTACCAACCCAGAGGTCTCAGGGAAAAAACTACAGTGTTGTAAAGCAAACAAGTTTAATCTAGAGCAACCTTTGCCACAACACAATCCCATGTCATCCAGCAGGCAACACAATGCATAGGGCAATCAAATACATGCAAGCGTGCATTCCTTTGTATTGTGAAGAATGTAATTCTACTGTTTACCCTGCAGCCATTCATAGTATCTAATGTGTGCAGTGTGCAGCGATTTTGCCACCAACATAGCCCTTTGATTTTTTTTTACAAAGTGCTATTTTTGGTCTGAATGCCTGCTAAGTTTCTGTTTGGACCAAGTTTCTTGTACACAGTTATATTCAGAAAGTTCTGGGGTCCAGCTGAGACAGAATTCAGTTCACACACTGCACCAGGATGACTTTGAAATGTGTCTTTGTTTCAAAAATACAATTTCCCTTGACCAGAACCTTCATTGAAATTTTTGGGGGTTTTGTTATTTGGTTTCAGTCACACCTGTATTTACAAGCGATCAGATCACCCAAGGTGCATTTTAACTGCTAAGTGTGAACACGTCCCTAGAGACCACAATCTAAACTTTGAATACCAAGCAGGAAACCGTCCAGGGAAACGGCTCATACAGAGGCTGTGAGGTGCTAATGGGTCATCTTGTGCATTCTCTGGATGTCTATTGAGAGCATTGGGATCTCTTGTGTCCCTCCTTCTATTTCAACAGTTCACCTCGTCGGTCTTTCATCCACAAACACAGCAATTAGCAAGGGGGAGTCCTAAAGTGCTGCTAATGCAGAAACAGTCTGCTCTCCAGCAGTCACATTTGCATTTTGAGTTTTCAGCCTTTGTTCTTTTATAGTCAGTTGGAATGTGTTTAACAGTAATCTTGAAAGAGAACGCCTGTGTTTTTTACACTTTAAGTTCATTATCTCTACATGTCCTTATTGTGTTGCAATGAGATGGAGACATTTAGATTATTTTCTCATTACTGGCTTACCAAGAATAACTTGAGAAGATCAAACTTCATCTCTGTGTGTTTAATACATCGATTTCTATATTGTTTAGCCTAGCTTAGCAATAGCTCAGCACAAAGACAAGATCAGGGGGGGAAACTACTAGCCTAGCTTTCTTAAAGGCGTTGTCCTGCAAATAAAAATGTCATCACATTAACGTTAAATGTGTGTTGTTAACACAGACAATTTGAAATTTGGTTTAATGAACAACTACTTTGTTTGCCTGTCTTCATGGTTAGACTTACCGAACTCAGAATAAAACCAAGCCCTCGAATGTACTGATCTATCTTACTAGCTAACAAGAAAACTGCATGTAAATAAGACAGTTTGGGAGATGGAAGAGGTGTATTTTGTTTGGACAGCCGTTTCCGTCTGGTTAAAAGTGATTATCTTCTCATCCAAATCTCTGTTAAATTATTATTCCCACAGTACTTTGCAGAGTCAAATCTTACCTGAATTACAATGATGCCCTAGATGACAAGATAAAGAAGAAACAGATTTTGGTGGTGACGTTTTTTGAAAGATTATGGAAACTTTCAGAAGAAACTCAACTCAGCACCAGAAACTGAGAATAAAACATGATGTCACAATGAGGAAATAAGAGTTGAAAAGAAAAGGCAATGGGTTTTTTAAGCCTCCAGGAGTGTTGTAGAGTATATTAGCACATGTTGAGTAGAAGGATACAGGGGAATAAAAGAGTACAAGAAAAGTTCCTCTTCTTGTAATGGAAGATGGGGTCCACTGTCAAATGTTTATTCCACCAACAAACAATTCCGCTTAAGGATTTTCTTCTTAAGTAACCTTTTTGGAACCCAGGAACTTTCAGCCACAGGAACCACGTTTTAGTTTTGGTTCTAGGGACACTGCTGCTGGGGTGGGACTTTCCAATGGCACAGGCACTATCGGGGTGGAGTTAGTAATACTGGAAGTTGCACTGTTTGTCACTGGTATTGGCTATTAGAACTGGGAAAGGAATTATTTTCTGTGTTACTAACATTTAAATCACCACTGAACAACCTGCTTCCCAACTGTTGGAGAAATACAGCGAGATAGAAAGAGAGTGGAAAAGAAAAACCTTAACTTTACCTTTTTTTCTTGCTAACTGGTTTAACATAGTTACAAAGTAAAAAGTACCAGCAGCACAACGGTAATTTGGGGACCTTTCTTAGCTTTCTATCTCTATTTATTTTCCAGTAAATTACAAACAATACAATAAATGTACTGTTGTCTTCTCATGTTCAAATAATACAGTTCAAACAAAGCTTTGTAATCCATTATTGGTCCAGTTTGCCTCATCTTCATAGCTTTTCAATTGTAGTGGAAACACAAATATGTATACACTAAAGGAATAGTTTCCTAAGAAGTCTTGACTTTGGTCCCTGGAGCTCCTGAATTGGGACTATTTGTGGTCAGAAAGGCCACAAAAGTGGGATAAACCATTTTGAAATTTAAAATCTTTAGACAAGTAATTATCAACAACTTTACTAACCCTCACAATATGCTGGGAACATTTTGCACAGGGCTGAAAAAGTCAGATTTTGTAGATTCAATCTTCCTGGGCATGCAGGCTACTGTTCTTCACAGTACAATGCACAGCGCCGACTGCTTGGGAGCACTACACTACTAACACATACAAATAATGAGCCTATGCCACAGCATAGGTAATTACAGAGGAAGAGGGGAGCCGAGACAGTCGACTGGACATTCATCTCATTACTCATGCATGCCTCCAGGCTGTTCCCCGTTGACCTGCATCACACACTTCTCTCTCTCACACACACACACGGAAACACAAACAAAAGCTGGCATATCCTTTCCAAAATACTCACGACACACCTGGACAGTCAGGGTCAAGAGCTTGATGCATTTTTCCTAATTACATCATACACATACACATACACATACAGTTTTGTATATTTTCTAAATTTAGACCATTATATGACCCCTTAGCACCTTACAAAGTGTATGCAGGAAAGGCATAAAGGAAGGATACCTGGTGGACACAGGAACAATTTGGTGCTACAAGGTTCAAACCTGTGATCTTTCTGGAATGGAAGAAGCTCTAATTACTAGTCTATCTTCTCTTGGAGATTAGTGGGTGGAAAATTTGTAAAATAGCTGGTACACCCAAAAGAAAGAGCTAGGCTTCTGATATATGACCACAATAAATAAATAACTGCAGAGCATGCACTGTCTCCTCTTCTGGATCTTCTTTCCTGATCTCAAAGGAGAGAGACAGGCTGTAGATTTTTTCTCAGCGAGATTTGTAGTGCAGAAAACCAGGTCAGCGAGCACACAGCGAGGTAAGATGAGGTACAGACGACTCACACGCTGGAGATGGTTACGTCAGCTGAGGCTGGAGGAGAACTGAAGTATCCCACTGTGGAAGCTCAGGATCCCTGCCTGCATGCTGCTCTTTGGCGTGGCTCCATTTTCCCCCCTTTCATGTCTCCTGACAACCAGCAGCAGTCGTGTTGTTTAGATCAGTGGTTCGCAAAACTTTCACACCAGACACAAACAAAGACTCAACATGGGAGCAGTGCAGCAATTCATGGAATCCGTGCTTTTATTTCAGCTTGTGGACCCTAGAGTGATGTCAGCTGGAGCAAGCACTCCTGCAGGCTAATTTCACACACCTTTCACATTTTTTTACTTAATTAGTATTTATTAGCAAATTTCCAATGTCCACATTCCATAAGTGAAAGCATCAACCATTCCTGAGCCATTTGAAATAAAAACAGGCTTGGTGCACAGCTTGCAAAGTTCAGTCACTTTGACTATTGTTGCTGCTGGCATTGCAGTGATGTGACTAGCCAATCACCGTCCTTGCTGAAAATATAATTATATGTTTCTTCTGAAATTCAAGTGAAACTAAATATCTGCTGAGTTCTTTGAATTTGCAGTTTGTGGTGCCTTTGAGCCACAAATGTCTGCACATTGGGTAAGGCTGATAGATATGAATACTGTTTACATATAAAATCCACCTACATCAACACCAGAATCATTAGGGACTTTTTGAAATACTTTTGTAAAGAACCATATTTGGTGAGGAAAAAATGTAAGCTTAAAGTGGACAGAAAGCCTTCAGATGTTTTTTTTATATTTGGTAAGCTGTTAAGGTAAATGTTGTATAGACCATAATTAAGAGTGGCCAAGTGGGGAGAGCCATTCAAGTCAACCTCCAAGTTGTGATTTAAAGTTGCAGAAAGCAAGTAGTTCTGACATTTTTTTCCCATTACCAGTACCAGCTCATCTGGCCTTGACTCACCTAGAGATAGTACCCTACAATGTAGCTGGTCGTCGTAGCAACGCCACACACAACTGCCGCAACGTAAAGTTCAACGCGACCCACATACACCAGATGTTAAGTTAAAACGTTTCAACATTACTCAGAATGTAAAGACAGATAAGCGGTATGAAAATCTTACAGCTGTGTTTTCCTCTGCTGTTGTTACTGGAGTCTCTGCTGTGTTGGCTGCAGCGGCCTGTGTGGCTGTGAAACCAGAGGGCTCTGTGAGCTCTGTCAATATTCAAAATCTACACAGTTGATTTCTCACCTC